AAGAAGAAAAGTAAGAAGAACGGAGAAGATTAAACTTATAAAAAAAATAGAAAATTATTAGAAAGAAGGATACAATAACGAAAGGAAAGTGAAGACTCCTTCCCGATACATCGCCATCAGAAAGTATAAGCCGTAATTTGCTTTAACACATACAACGTCCAAACCCAAATACAACTGTTTCTGAAGCGTAAGTTCTCTTGGAATTAACGGCCTTCTAGTATGGTGGATGTCCACAAACGTTTCCGGATGAAAGAATTGCCTCAGTCCTAAGAGTCGAAGGATAAGGCAAGCAAGAAACAGAGAAGAAAGGGGCCAATAAGCTGAAAAGAATCAGCTTTCCGTCTGCGTGGTTCACTGTTGGACCTTGAAGACAGAGATGACATGTTTCTCCGAAACGTCGAATTCTCTCCGAACTACGCTTTACGATCCAGAATACTGTACTCTTCTTAGACACTGCCGTTAGAACTTCAGATGCAATGCAACAATAGGCTCAGGAGGGAGAGACCACAGCTCTCAGGACAGTGAATGTCAGCCTAGATCTGAATGCATCGCAAGAAACATGATCAGCCCCGGCCTGGCAATGACAACGGGACCCTTCCCGACAAAAGTACGACTCGTCGCTGTGAAGAGATTGCTCGGTTAATTCTGTCGAGACCACCAACTGAGATAAGGCTTGCAGAGTGCGCATGCTTTATTCAAACAGAAGTTCACAATTCCTTTCTTCCACAATGCAATGCAAAGCAACCACTCTCCCGCCACATCTCGGTTCATTTTAACTCCTGATAGTAGGTCCTTCCACAATGCTTGCATCATCATTTCCAGAATGGGCCGATTTGACAGTGACTGGACAACCATCAAGGCGGGCGACCCTCGAAGTTTCCTGTTTTCTCTACGTTCACTGTCGATTTCGAGAATGCTTAGAGGATCCCCTTCGCAACCAACCAGTCAGGCATTAACAAACGCGACCACGGCAAATGCGTGAGCTTCACAAAAAATCGCCTAAGTTACACGATCCGACGAAGTCTGGGATGTGTTCAGCTTGGCACAGAATTGTGCGGAAGGCTGACAACAGGCCTGTCTGGCTCAGGGACAGCCTGTTCAAGGTGTGTGTTCAAAGAGTTAAACTCCTTGAAACCGAACAGTTAGCTCAAATGCCAGACTTGTATTAATAGGGTGTGTGGTTAGAATCTCTGAGAGGACATCACCTATCCTGGCTGACGACTTTTGTTGTTTTTCTCAGTCCGTCCAGACAAATGTCGCATAGTATCGTAAAATAGGCCACGGCTCCTTCCTTACACATCATTTCCAGTTAAGGTAAAATTAAAGTTGTCCCTGTGTTTAACTACTTAAGCACTACGCCATGAAGACGTAGAGGGGAGTGGACGTATAGATCCGCATTTTTTTCACCCCGGCACTAGTTGGAGTTGAATGGTTAGCTTCACACCCCTGTCGCTTTACCCCCGGGGAAAGAGCCTCCGGTACCCGTTGGATAGGAGGGTGGGTGGGCCGCAGACCCGGTCCGCACGACCTGGAGAGGAGAAAATTCTTGATCCTACCGGACTCAAATTCCGGCCCCTAGCTCGTCCAGCGCGTAGCCAGTCGCTATACCGGTTCGCCCACGTTTCTCCAGTTAATAATAAGAGGTGGGACCTAAGTGAGACATGTTGATAACATGGGACTGGGGGGGGGGGAAGAAGGAAATGCTTGTCAGAAGGTTCCCAGGCGAAACTCGCGTCTCGAGAGTGAAAGTACAGTCACCCACGGACTCGTCTAATTAGGTTCTTTTTTAATGGCTCTTCCAGCCCATTCAAGGCCTGACCTCTTATTCAGTTCCGTAATCAGTTTTCACAGACGGTAGGACCTCTTGGACGAGTGATCAGATCGTCACAAGACCTCTGCCGAAACATGGGACAACACAAAAACAGAATAAGCGCACACACACCAAACATCCATGCCTTAAATGGGATTTGAACTCAGATTCCAGCGTCCGAGCGAGCGAATTCAGTTCATGCCTTAGACCGCTCGGCTACTGTGACCGGCAGGTCAAGTCAGGTCAGGTCATGTTACAACTGACGGTCAGTCAGTCTGTCGGTCTTGGTGTCGAGCCCCAGCTGGGGCTCATGACCAGATATGTCTTTTCAATGAAAGTTACCGTCCTGTCCATGTGTAGCGCCCTCTCTGACGAGAGGTCGGGTCTGTCATCTGTCAGTCAGTGTGACCGGCAGTGTATAAGAATAATATATAAGAATTCAGTTCGTACCTCACAGGAAACAGATCTGAACCCACGATCCCGGTTTCCGAGCGAGCGAATTCAGTTCATGCCCTAGACCGCGCGGCTACTATGAACAGCCATTTAATTATGTCGCCATAAAGACGTATGGGTGAGTGGAGGTACAGCGCCACCTTCCTTAACTATGATGCTAGATGGAGATGAGCGGCCAGTTTCGCGCACCTGCCGCTTTAATCGTCGGATAAGAGCCCCGGGTTTTCATTGGATAGGAGGCTTGGTGGGCCCTAGAGCCGGTTTGGACGTTATGTACACGAGAAAAGCTGGGAATCGAACCCCGACTCCTCGGTCGTCACTGAATCGACTGACTGGCTACTAAATTCCTGCTGGCCCTCGCCAGCAGAGTGATTTCTACAACGTCCGTTGTAGAAATAAGAGGCGACTACTCCACTTTCTTCTGGCTCCATTGCAGACAAAAAACTACGCACCACATTCTGCAACTATGTGGTGTGCTCAACAACGTCCGTCATAAAGTACGTTCGTTATAACGGACGCATTTTCTGCGCTCGTGTGGCCTCAGCCTTAGTAGTTGCGGCTAGGGAAGTGACTGTTGTAGCAAAATGAAATGTTGGTGAATAGTAAACAAAATTTTGTTTGGGTTTGAGTAAGAGGACGGAGAGATAATTTAAATCTGAGGAAGTCGCTTTAGCACGAGGGAAATCAAATGGCTCGTCGCAGGACCTTCGAATTGAAGCCTGAAGGATACATCCTGCCAGACAGAAAACACAGTGCGTCGCACTTACACAGACTAGCCAGTTAATACTGTTTATGGGGATGTCTGTGTACTGTGAAAGTCACAAGAAACACGTAAATACGCTCTGTGGAAACAGTGCAAAACTGTTAGATGTTGAACCCAATGATATATGTATACTGTGGCGTATAGATCCGTTGCTAAGCTGTGACCCTGTAAACAGCGGCCATTGCTAGGTAACGCCCGCAACATAAACGCATGGAACAATAGAAAATTGTGTTTTCTGTTAGACAGTGTCAAAGGGTTATAAGCGGGAAAAAGTTCAAAGCTTAATTCAGCGAAGCTATGAAGGGAGGTCAGACCAGCCCAGTCCACGGGACTCGTGCCCGAGAATGACTGCGCTGGCGAGGACCAGCAGCAATTGCAAATTACAGACCAATCTTCTCATCAGAGAGGATGTCACATAAGGAGTACAACCGCAATGTTCAGCTGCAAAAAAAGTTGGTCGTGAGTCTCAAGGGGCTTGATGCCAAGACGAACTGATTAGCGGTGAACTGTCGCTGTAAAGTAACTGTAAAGTAACTGTGACTCTGAGCTTAGTTCAGCTGTGAGACGGTGGCCAGCCGGGAATGGCGTGAGCGCGGAAGCTGTAGAATCTCCACTGTTATAAGCCGTCACCAGCAAACGACTGGTGGAGACTGTAACAGAGAGAGGGCACTAGTCTGTGTCCTCCAGGGTTTTGTGAAGTGTGGAGATCAGCGATGGCGTTAAAATTAATTGTAGTCTTGAGTCGTATGTAAATGGAATCATCAATCCAAACTCCGCCTGTGGTCACCCTATACACGTGATAATACAGTAGTCATTCTGGTTTGAAGTTCTGAAGTAGTATGACAGATTAAATGACCTCTTCATTCTGCCTCTTCTCTCTCTCTCTCTCTCTCTCTCTGCGATCACTGTTAAAGCCAAAGTTAATATTAACAAACTGCGCAGTTTGTTATGCAGTTTGTTTGCGGTGCGAATTGTTAACAGAGTGAGAAGTGTGTTTTCTGGGCGGGACCTGCCATGCACCTTCATAAAGCCGGCTTCCTGCAGTGAACAATTCCACACAGAAAACAAGCCTCACAGATCGTCTAAATTCGTACAAAAAGAGCGGCAGTAAATGTCCCAAAATTTGGAACCCAACAAGACTTTGGGTCAATGGTGATTTTTCGAGCAGAGACAGATAGAGATATACTTGTAGTATTGCTTCCACGCGAAATTAAAATGCTACCAATATCATTCATTACCGATATGCTACATTCAGTTCAGAATTTCTTGTCTTCCCGTCCGCTATCTGAGCACGCAAGAAATAAATTATACAATACTACAATTATGTCTTTTGCTTTTATGGGCGTGACACTTGGTCTCTCACGATAACTGGACCAAAATGGACCAGTGATTCAAAATTAGATCACTAACGGATCCAACTGGACCAATGACTGAGATCATGTCTCTCTAGCGGACCCAACTTGACTAACGATGGACATTAGATCTCTCTTACAAACCCAACCGGACCAATGATTGAGATTAGATCTCTAACGGGCCCAACTGGACCAATGACTGAAATTATGTCTCTCTAGTAAACCCCAATGGACAAATTACTGAGATGAGCTGTCTCTAACGGACCAAACTGGACCAGTGACTGAGATTATGTCTCTCTAGAGGACCCAACTGAGTTGGTGATTTCCTACATTTCGCCTGAGGACGGAAACATCCGTTTCTAAAGCACTGCATTCTGTTCGGAACAGAAGACTCTAGAAGCCCAGTTATGAGCTTTACCCTCATCTGCGAGCCTGACTTGGGCTGAGCAACTTCCGCCGCAGAGGATCCGGAAGGGGTTTGTAGCGCAGAACCTGCGAGCCGACGGTCTTACCAATGCCTGTCGCGGCCTGGGAAGTCTGCAAGCCCAGGTCCCACACTCATGACGGCAAGTGGCTTCCCCAGCCCTTGGACGCGGTCCAGTAATGATCTTGTCTCTTACAGGGTTCGGATCCTGACGGCAAGCAAGGTACACGTACACTTGTAGGATGTCCAGGGAACATCCAGTGGCTGTGGAGGGGGCGCAGTCCCAGGACGGTAAGTACACGACAAATGCTCGAGAGCAACTGTTCCCAAACCGGGGGGTCGTGACCCGAACTTGCGTCGCGAATGCCCAAAACAATGAAGCGAATATTATGGCTAAAATTATTCTGTAAGTACAGGAAGCATAGGCAATTTCAGTATAAGTTTCTTCTTAACGGCGAATTGCTCGGGATGGGGGTAAATAGGTGCCTGTAACCTTCGAATTGCAAGGCGAATGTGATTTTAAATTGGGAATCGATGAGAAAAGAAGTACAGTAAACCCTCGATAATGCGGAGTGATTAGGGGGAGGCTATCTGCCGGATTAGTGAAGAAAAGGTAGCCCTAAAAGGCAAAAAAAGAAAAAATAAGTGGAAAATTTAATGATATAATTAGTGCTGACGAAAATAAATACAAAAATTATTACTGTGGAGCATTTATTTAAAAACTATGAAAAAGTAATACATTTATTCATCGGTATAAGACTTGTTTTTTGAACGTGATAATTCATGTTTGAAGAGACTATCTAGTTTTGTTTGAACGGACAAGTGACTCATCTGCCTTCCTAAAGGCCACGTGTCTTCTAAAGTGTGTACTCAACTGTGAACAGCATTTCTCATATTTCGATCCAGATTAGCGAGGGTTTACTGTATGTGGACCACTGCTCTAGATGCTGACCAGTTCAGTGGGTCGCAGTCCCCTGATTGTCCCTAAAAACATCCGGACAAGAGCAGTTCTATGAAAGGTGGAGGCGAGACGTTGCTCACTCACGTATGCTCACTCTGTTTGTGTCTGCTGATAACCTGTGCACTGATAGTATCGAAACTTGCCGTCGAGTGGGTGGCGCCCTAGCTTCTGGTTCGAGAGCTGTCGGCCCCGATACCGGCTATCACGACTCAGGTTTTCCTGCTTTTCCTCAGTCCCTCCTGGAAAAATTCCGGGAAAGACGTCAAATTAGGGAATCGCCCCTTGATTCCACATTTCCCATTTCATTTACTATTCACCCTAACGTCCAACACTGTGTAGCCTATTATTATTATTTAGTATTATTATTATTATTGGAGGGGTTGGGTTTCCCCATGCACCGAGACTAATAGTCTATTGTACGTCCCCCTTTGATATTCTACCAATCACCATACCCTGCGAAGCTGACAGTGGTTCCCAATACTTCGCCATCTACCGGAGGCATTGGAAACTACTTGGGCGGGAAACTTTTACCTAATTTTGTTCAGAGGTCTCCTAGAGACATGAGGATCTTTTACGTGCCGTAAATCTACGACACGGGACCCATGGCTTAAAGTCCCTCCCGGAGGACTTGTTCCCTGAATTTTTCCGCCCTTAAAAATTCCACGACCTCCGCCGGGTTTGAAGCCGCGTACCTTGAGTCATGAGGTGGAAACGTTACCCCTAGACTACGGAGGCCGCTCTGTGTAGCCTAAGCTATTGGCAGAGTCGTTAAATAAACAATAAAGAAGTACATTAACATTTGATGGCACATGAAACACATCTTAACTGAACAAGGAACCTTCTTCGCAGCGTCCAAACGTATTCCGGGCCCAGGCAGCCGTCTCTCCAATGGGTACCGGTGCTGAAGGGGCCTGCGATTTAAGCTGCTCACACACAACATTGTCACGTATATGTCACTACAGACGGGGTATGGATTGATGAATGGCTAGCTTTATCTGTACTTTGCTGAGTTCCTTGGATTATGCAATGTCGCTTTCTCAACTGAGTAGATCAATGGCTCCCAAACTCCTCTACACTGAATCTCCCTTGATGTGAAGAAAAATACGTGAAGCCTCGAATTTCTAAGAATATCATTAATCACGATTTAGCAAATTAGAAATATAAACACTAACGGAAACTATGTCTTCAAAGTAGGCCAAATTATTCAATTTTGTTTCTAGCTTAATGAGTCCCTTTATCGTAAATTTATAATTATTTCGATAATCAGATAATTAATACATTCAGCGGGCGTCGAAACTCAGGGTCCCAATTTGGGGCCGCGGCTCCCAGCTTGCGAAACGCTGGTAAAGATGAACAAAGCGTCAGACTGAAGGAGTCAATCGACCGAGCATAGCATATTAAAATGTTCCTCAACCATAAGACATACAGGTAGAACAAATTCGAGCAAACAGAATTATTCATAAAATTCGGTGGTCCCCGCATTTAGAATTCCGTTTTATTCCCACTATCAGCGTATCGTAAAACTTTCGCTAGAGTAACAATGTGAGATGCCTTTGTAAAGCCATTTCACGCTTTGAACCACGGATCATCATAGCCTGTGTTGGAAGAAAATTCCTGTGTACGAATTGTCATGTGTTTAGTGACTCTAGACAGATCTGGATTGGTAACCGGCTCTACTGGACAAGTGTCCAGTAACTATGACAGTCTCGCTGAGTATGCACGCCAAAGATCACCATAACTACAGCATACATGAAGTCTTCTCAATCTTCACTAGCCGTTGTTTGGTAGCGGCTTCCAACAGAGGACCTTTACCTTCCTCTGGGTTCCCGGGCTCTCCGCGGTCTCAGTTACCAGTTTTACAATTCCAACAACTACAAATCTCCTCGAACTCAACTAAAAGCTCAGAGTCAGAGTCAGAGTCAGAGTCAGAGTTACAGTTACTTTACGGCAGTCAGTTCGTCTTGTCGCCAAGCCCCTTGAGTCTCACGACCACCAATTTTTTTCAACTGAACTTTTCCAAAAGGTCAGAGTCAAAGTCACATTGCGACTGGCGATCAGTAAGTCAGTAATCATGACCAGATGTTTATTACTGTTTGACAGTTACGAATTTGTTTTTGTGGGGCGCCCTCTCTGACGACAGGACGGATGTGTCTGCTGGCCCTTGTCAGCGCAGAAATTCTCGGGTCCGAGTTCCTTGGGACTCGCACCATATTTTACTGTCTCATATTTGAGACTTCCATTTTCGTTGCCTCTTACGACTCGGAGGGTCACGATGGAGGTATTCGACCCAGCCTCCACACGGGTATGAACGGCCATACCATGTTGAAAACAACTTTGGGCGTGGTTAGTGCTTGGCTTGGTTAGTACTTGAATGGGTCAACTTTTCTGGTCATAGTCCTTACAACAGAAGCCTCGGCACGGATCGCACAGAAAATGTCTCTTCCATTCTTTCATGTTCTCTCGGTGCCGGGGAAACATGTGTCCACAGAGCTGTTCCCTAACAACGGCTGTTTTATTTTCGCCTGTTTACACAGCTGTTACTTAGCAATGGGTCTACGTATCACACTATATTTGCATTTCCCACCGGCGTATGAATACTGGAAGTGTGCTGAAATTAGAATCTGGTAAGCTTCTAATGATGACGTAAAGACTCGCTGAAGATGACGGAATCTCGTTCCCATAGCAGATGGAGTGTACCTGCCAACCGTGGTAAGATTCATTGTGATCTGAATCCAGTAACACAGCTGCTGTAGAATGAGATCCGGCACCTGGTCACACATTCACAAGAACGGTCTGTCGCTCCCGATAGTTCGCTGTAACACGGCAATTTCTTGAGGCAGGTCGTCATGGAATTCAACTTTCGTTTCTGTGCTCGAGGGAACAACAAACCAGTCTGAAGATACTCAGTGGACTTACAGCGTAGGGAAAACGAGAGTTGTGAAACTGGCAGTCTGGCCAATGCCCACTCCGATTCTAAGTTCTTAGACATTTCGACATGTCAGAGGAATATATCACCTCCAACTTCAGGGTTGAAGATTATGCCAGGCAATAAGGCAACAAATCTTGCGTGTTCCTTGTGCTGGTTTTGTTGTCTGGCTTACTCTTCAACCTTGTAGTTGCAGGCGATATGTTCCTACGAAACGTCCAATTCTATCCGAACCCATAAGACCGTACTCTTCACAATTACAGCTGTGAGAAAAAGAGTTTCCTAACTTCGCGATTAAATTCAATTCACTTTCAAACCATTTGTATAGAATGAAATAATTTATTTATTTACATACTTAGGAGCTGGAGTAGCTCAGTCGATACAGTGACCAGAGTACGGGCTCTACGACTGAAGGGTGGTGTTCGATGCAAGGCAGAGGTATCAAAATGCTCTCTTCTTCATAACACCTAGCCATTTCTGGGGTCTACCCAGCCTCCCGCTGAATGTGTACGGTTAAAACGGCTGGAATGTGACACCTCTATTTAATGTTGAGGTTATCAATGCTTGAAGCTGTACTTCTACCACATAAATCTTCGTACCGCGGTGCATAAATAAGCATAACAACCTTACCGTTTTGATTTATTAAATGACGCCGTCAATAGCTACCGAATGGGGAGATTAATGAATACTAAGTTGGACAGGACACGGCCGTGTTCAATTTGAGGTGCATACTACGCGGAAGTATTGAGGCAAGCCATAGAAGCCGGTCTCAGTTCGGCATCTGAGCTCGGATTGCACTAAACACTAAGTTGAACCGTGAAGTACAGCCAGTCATACCAACTTCATGTGATCTGTTTGTGTATGAATGCTTTGCTTGATTCCTATAATTTTGCACTACAGACGTCACTAATTTCTTCTTCTTCTTCTTCCTTCGGGGCTGTTAAAGTTCAGAATAGAGCATACCTTCGCTAATCCCGTCACAGATAATTCAAGAGTCGGATAATCCGGATCGAAATATGAAAAATGCTATTCACAGTTGAGTACACACTTTTAAAGACACGTGGCATTTAGGAAGGCAGATGAGTCACTTGTCTCTTTAGACAAAACTTGACATGTGTCTTCAAACCTGCATTATTGCGTTCCAAAAACAAGTACAGCTTCTGAGTCTTCTATCGATAAACAAATGTATCGTTTTTTATAGTTTTTAAATAAAGGCTGTACATTGATATTTTTATATTTAATCAGCACTATTTATATTAGATTTTCCATTTATTTGTTCCAAGTTTTATTGCCTTTTATGGTTACCTTTTGCTTCACTAATCCGGATGACCTCTCGCTCCCCTTTACTCCGGATTAGCAACGGTTTACCGTAATTCTGAATTTATTAATCTTACACATACTTGG